GTAAGGACATCTGCTTGAACAGCTGCAAAACCCTTGGCCTCTCTCCCTGTCTTCTGACATTTAGTAAAGGTCTCAGTTAAGATCACCTCTTTCATTCTGGTAATCATTAATTATAGCAGCACCTTCCAGTTCAGGGCCTGTCAGCGTTTCAGTTATAAACCTATTTTCTTTGGGGGGGGCATTTGTCTTGGCTGTAAAAATCTAGTCTTGGCAGTTATATGACATACCACATCTCTGTGAGCTATTACTTCCAAAATCTGCTTAATAACTTTTTGATACTGTAGTATCAGATGATGTTTCACTGGGAAAAGTTAATAGAATATATACATGGCTTGATTTTTCAGTATTATCTCATTTTAATCCATAATTACATAACAGAAGTTTTTAAATATTTTGAATGTGTTAATTTAAAATTCTATACATAGTCAATATTGAGAATAAGAGTTCATTTTTATTCTACTTTACATGCATAAATTATCCATGTTACACATGCCTATGTACAGACACAAAATAAGCAATGTATATGATAAACACTTCCTGAAATTTGTTTCCAGCTAGTTATGAAGGTGGAGTTATTTCCATTTCTGACCTGGGGAGATGCCAGGTAACTGGAATATGCTATGTACTCCTCTGCATTTATGATCTGTTATATTGTTGTCTTAGGATCTGTTTGTCACATCAGAGAGGAGAACTTCCAGGTGATGAAGGACATAAAACCTCTCCTACCTAAAGCCCTTTATAGTGCAAGGAGGTGGCAGTTTTTCCATTTAAAACTTGATCTTTCCTTTTTGATGTTTCCCTTTAAAATTACCACCCCTCTTCCTCCATGCAGCCCCATTTTTATTTAATTCCATAGCAAACAATTCATATCATGGTATTTCTCCTATTGCTTCCCTTTTTGTGAACTGATTTAGAAGCATATGTTCCACTGAAAGTCAATAGAAAATCAAATAAAACTTGAGATTTCTCGGTGTTGTTTTCCCCCTTCCTACTACTACTTCTTCTGACAACTTAACTCTTTTATTGCTTCTCCTTTTATGAACCCACTATCTTGATTTTTTTGAGAGGACTATCACTTGCTACATTTTTATGTTTATTTGTTTTTCAAATAATTGCAATTACTGTTCTGTTGTCTTGTCCCTAGAGTTATCCCTGCTTCATTGTGTTGAATCAAAGGCATTGTGTACACAAATAAAATGTAATATAATACTCTACACTAATGGGTTCTTCTCAGTCTCTCTTCTTAGCAATCCTGTCATTCCTATCTTGATCATGAACAATGGAATGAAGATAGTTGTTGCTCAGAAGAGTCATTGTCTCTTTTGCCTTAGCCTCCTGAATGACATCAAACAAGTAGAGAAGTTAGCCTTCACTTCAGTGACAAAGTAACTTGTAATGTTACAGCTAAGCACTTTCAGACTCAGCAGTCAGAATTTATAATAGATTATTATTCAAAGTTGGGGTTGGATCCAAGGGGGATAAAGGTATGCAGTCATATGTGCTCCCTTTGCTTCCTGCTCCACCCAGTTTAAAACCAACTGCCTGGCAGTAGCAGCAGCATTTCTATTCAAGTAGCAGTGAGGGAATCATTTGACTTTATAGCTCATTATATCCTTCTAAACTCTTTGTTCTACAGGTGTTAATGACTTTCTATCCTTTTTTAATGGTTTTGATTTTTTTTTCCTGCCCTCCCCTCTTTTTTTTTTTTGCAATATTGCTATATGTTAGCTTTCCCTGATAATGTACCTCCTTTTTCACATCCCTGTGTTTTAGGCCTGTGTGAAGCAGCAAGTATCACTTCGGATTCAGCCAATTTAGAGGACAGTAATTCTATTCGGAGATTCAAATCACTGCCCCGATTTGACTCAGCCGAATCAGATCTGAAAGATTTGGTGCCACTTTGGAGATTTGGCTATAGATTAAACAGGCAGCTGACACAGCTGCCTCCAGCTGGTAAGTCTGTTGGGGTTGGGTAGGGAAGGGGCATGGGGCAGGGAGGGATTGGGGCTGGGGCAGCCAGGACAGGGGGCACGTTACTCACAGAGAGGGACATGGGGGCACAGGATGCAGGCACGGCAGTGCTGGGAGTGGGGGCTCTGCCCTGCTGCTGCTTGCCCAACTGGCACAGGGGGGGAGGGGCGCAATGCAGGCACGGCTCACTCCGGGCGGAAGTGGGCAAGCGGCAGCAGGGCATAGCCCTGCTCCCAGCGCTGCTGAGCCTGCATCCCACCTCCCCTCCCCCCGCGCTGGCTGGCAAGGGGCAGCAGGGTAGAGTCCCCACTCCCAGCACAGATGCAGGCACAGCAGTGCTGGGAGTGGGTGCTATGCCCTGCTGCCACTTGCCCCCTTATGCCTGGAGCAAGCCATGCCTGCATCCCTCCCCCCCCGGCCGCATTGGCTGGGCAAGCGGCTTCAGGGCAGAGCCCCAGCTCCAAGCAGTGCCATGCCTGCATCCAAACCCCCCTGCCTCCCTCCCCGAGTAACGCACCCCCCTGCCCTGGCTGGGCAACTTGTCCCAGCCCCAATCCCTCCCTCCCTCACACCCCTTTCCTCCCCAACCCCAAAAGACTTACCAGCTGCAGGCAGCTATGTCAGTTGCTTGTTTAGTCTATGGCTGAATTGCCAAATCTTTTCCAAATCTTTGTCCGAATTGACTTGGATGCTTCGAGTTGATTCAGAGTTTTTAATTGGTCTCCCAATTCAATTTGGATTTGGAAATTTGGTCCCTGAATTGGGCTGAATATCCTCCAAATCAGATTGGCTACTGAAGCTTCACACAGCCCTACTGTTTTTAACTCTAGCTACACCTACTCTGAATACCTTCAAGAGACATGTAGATGTTTATCTTGCTGGGATCCTATGATCCCTGCTGACTTCCTGCCCCTGGGCAGGGGGCTAGACTCAATGATCTTCTGAGGTCCCTTCCAGCCCTAACATGTATGAAATCTATGAAATATTAACTCAACTGTGGACAGGGCTGTCCCTAGGGGGCACGAATCAGGGCAACCGCCCTGGGCCTCACACTTTGGGGGGCCCCGTGGAGCCAGGCGGAGCAGTGGCGGCATGAAGCTGGGTGGAGCGGTGGCACCGTGTCCAGCTACTCGCTGCCCTCCCTACTCGCCCACCACTGACGCCGCTCATGCCGATGGTGGCGGCAGCTGCTTCAGGTTTGGGATCGGAGTGGGGGCAGGGCTCCACAAGGGCTCATTTGCCCTGGGTCCCAGACCTTGCTCAGGTCGCTTCTGACTGTGGAAATAACTTTCAATGAAGCAGTGGGTGCACTGTCAACATGTGCAAGAAGGCTTGATTTTGTAAGAAATGTAGATATAATTCTAATGACAACTGAACTAAAGCAACATTTTTTGCATAGTTGTTTGTGTTTTATACATAATATGTGGTATAGTAAATTAAGGCACATTCCAATAAAATTATATTTGTTTTGGATCCTAAACTGAATAATATAGCGCTAGGCTCCTAGGATATTGTTAAAGCTTCTAGTTTCTTTTTACCTGGATAAAAATGTATGCTGTTTTATATGGGATATTGTACCACACCATCTGTACCCTTTCAAAATTCTAGATCCACCCACATTCAAAATAGTGAACTTGCTCTAACTTGAGCCCACACAATTAATTTAAACCTGCTGCAGCAAATATTTGGTGCTAGCCTATCTGGTATCCATCTCTGCTGTAGCCAATGTATACAGACTAGGTTGATGTATTCAGTGTGTAAAGGAATACTTTTTTTCCTACAACTTCTTTCAACTTCTGTATTGTCTTTTTTGTTAGTTTTTTCTTTCAAGAAAGGAGAGAATAATATGATATTCTGCTTTCTTGAAGCCCTTTAATTGTTCCTTTCATTCCTTTTCCTTTTACTTGCTTTGTCTAAAATCCGTTTGAGAAAATATTTAACAAATATAAATTTAGAAAGAAGAAAGAAGCCAAACAAGGCTAATATTTTATTGCTGCATGGCGTAATTGGTTAGTTTTAAAGAGGTTTAATCTTTATTTTTGTATATTTGTTTTCTAACAAACAAATCTTGGTTTTTTATTTTTGATAACATGCTGAGGCCCCAAATTGCTGAAAAATTAATGGAAAAGACTTTCATTAAGATGCGGGCCCTCTCCTTTTTTCTTCTGCTGATAACATTCATGTATTTGACCTTCATCAGGGAAGGACATTTATCACCAGCGCCATCTAACCATCTGTTAGTATACTTGTCCTCTGCTGTACATGTTCTTGTAAACTGAAGTATCATGGATCACTTCAGGCTTAAAACCAAGTAAACAGTTATGAAGGGTGTTGATGATAACTCAAGGACTCATACACAACAGAGTGTTGCAGTTTCTGATATGGTTAAAGCAGGAACCACAAATCACTCTTAATAGTGTGAGGTAGTTAGACATGTTAGTTTGAAATCAGGCAGAAGGTTGTGCATCTCTGCTTTTAGTTTATAATGTGCATCTCTATCCTACCTTTTTCTCAATAGTTTTTCACAGTTCATTCAAATGACACTGGCCTCTTCTGGTTTGCACCATAGTGTAAATCTCTGTGCAGTGTGCTCTTGCACGAGATGGGTAGTGCTTTAGGAAAGGCTATCTGTTAAGGATGGGAATTTATGCACTGGCAGTGGGGTCCAACTGAACTTCGGGGTTATGACTTCGGGGATTTGAAAGAGAAGGCATTTTAGCTTTGCAGATTGGCCTCCTTTGTGCAGACGAAAGTTATTGTAGGCTATTGCTGTCACCCTTTGTTGACTTGCATTTTAACTGTTTGCCATGAGTGCCTACAGCCTGTGGTACCCATTGTTTTCTATGTTGAGAGTTTTTATGCACAGAGTAAAAGTTTGGTCATATAAGCATTTTGTTGCATTGTTACTTAAGATGCATTAATTTATTAATGATACATTTATAAACCTAGGTGCAGCATTCAGGCTGTTGCCAACAGCCCATCTCTGATTTATAAAAGACTAATTCTGTTCTGTTCTTTCAAATTCCCAGCACTGATGGCTATTGTTTCACCATAATAGAAGAAGATGAGGCTGGTGGGCATTTAATCACCAAGGGATGTCTAGGACTAGAGGGCTCAGACTTCCAGTGCCGGGTAAGAAAGTTTTTATGATCAAAATTTGGTTTGACCACTGTGCTAGCTTCCAGTTGACTCAAGTACTGTCAGAAAGAATGACTACAACATCATCAGCTTTGATTTCTGTTCATTGGGGAAATGGGTCCTTTGCACTGACTGGCTGAGGGTATGCCATTTGTATACCAAATTACTTATGTACAGGACCTTGCATTACTAGGTAAATTAGTGAGAGTCAAACCTTAGTGTCCTGATGACATTGTAATATGCATAAATACATTCTCCTTTTCTATAAGTTCATGCTGCAGTTAAAATTATATAGGGCATTTTTAATTTCCTCCCGTAGACTGCTGTATGGTGCATACTTGTTATCCCCCTGCCCCCAGGCTGTAACACATTAGTGATGAGCAACTGAGTCCTGCATATTTAGACAGCATAAGTTATGACTCTCCCTGGCTGAAGAAGTTATTCTGTATAGAAATACATCAGATTCCATTTTATGTACTGCAATAAACTGTTCATTCTGTGCAGCAATTCTTTGTTATGCTTGGATGTTTAAAGTAAAGACATCTCTAGAAGCTAAATCCTCAGCTGTGATAGGAGGATGGCAGTCAGGGCAGCAAATGAAATAGAGAGGGCTCTCAAGGTATGTCTATAATGCTGCAGTATAATACGGAGATGCCTGAGGTAGCTTTAAAAGCTGCTTATACATGTCCTCGGGGTTTTAAATAGAGCAGTTCCTGGAGAGCCATTATAATTAAAACACCTCACCATCATGTGTATTAAGCCCCTTACCCTTGTAAAAATGGCCATGAGGTGCTTTATCTAAACCTCATTCAATGAGGTTTAGATAAAGCTCCCCTGTGGCTATTTTAAAATGCTCAGAGGCTTAATACGCATGATGGTGAGGCCATGCTGGATCATTCTGATTAGAACTTGGAACAGACTCAATTAATCAAGCTTGCTCTGACAAATTCTAATTAGAACATGAACTAGCACATGTATAGGCAGCCAAAGAGACTAGCTCAGGTACTGGAAGCAGTTTAGCCAAAGCAGTATGTGAAGCTCTACAGCCAGACTGCTTCTCATACTCAAGCTAGATCTTTTAAAGATATCTTAGATATTCTGATCTGCATGGCAGCCTGCAATGTAGACATCTTCTTTCTGCTGCCATTCACAAATCTATAGCTTGCAGACCAAATTAGAGCAACCTGAAGGTTGTTGAAATCAATCCAGTTTATAATAAACCCCCTAGGAGCCGTTATACCAGTAAATATCACCACAGGCCTCTCCAGCTCTGCTTCCTGTCATGCCCTTCAGAAGCTTCTTTTATTGGTGGGGATTCCCTCATATCAAAGGAATCAGTAAATGCCCCAATGCCAAGAATTTTCTAAGAAAATGAGGTTCCCAAATCCATTCTAAAGGCATGGCCAGATTTTCTGAAGTACCCAGCACCAACAGCAATCTGCTGTGACTTTATTCACGTACTTTTTTGGAAATACTGTCCTGCAGGGTAAACTTCTGGGTGCTTTGCACTGGATGTGGAAAATAATGCTTGTATAATCACTCACACACATGCATCTTTCTGATTTGTCTAGTACTAATACTTCCTTTATATAATAACAGTTGCTACAGTGGAAATGTATAAAGGATTAATTTGTCTCTTAATGTTTAACTCCAGTGCTATGTGGATTTATTAGGGTGGCACAAATCATTACTGCTCTCACGTTTGAGGTGCTGCTCCTCTATACCATGCAGATCTGTTTGCTTCTCAAGTACTGAAAGTGCTCAGTTTTGTGAATTCTTTTATTGCAGGATACTCCTATATCACACCAAAGAAGATCTATTAAATGTTGCACGGGGCAAGATTACTGTAACAAACACCTTCACCCTACATTGCCTCCACTGAAAAATCGAGGTAAGTGGAGGAGGTAAATCCAACCTGGACCTCGTACTTTTTTCCCCCTAGAAAACCCAAAGTAAAGAGAATTGGAAGAACTGCATAAAAGTTCTGTTTAACTGCTCCTGATATTTAGTATTATTTGTATTGTTGAGTCAAGGGAAGTCCCACTGGTGCTGTACAGGCCTGTAGTGAAATAATAGATCCTTTCCCAAAAAGCTCTCAATCCATGTTAGGCAGGGGCAGAAAATGTCTGACTAAATTTGTGCAGAGCCTTAATCTTATTAGGGCCTCTCTTTGCAACTGCCATATTAATGTTAAATGATGGTGATGACAATAATGATAATGGTAATGATAATGAATGGCCTCTACCATTACAAATGACTGTAGTCTGTAGCTGCATAATAGTTTTAAGTATGACACTCAGCAGTTTCATTTTTTTTTTCCAATGGGATTCTTCACAGAAGGGATACTGGATTGAGGCACAGAGGGCAATAGATAAAGTAAATAGTTCACAAATGACTGGTGAACCATAAAAGCAATGAAACCTCATAAAATTCTGACTCCTAGTATAATAGTTTAATGTGATTTTGTTGGTCTCTAGTAAAAGAAAAATGGCTATTGGAGAGGGAGAATCTTAAGTGCAAATTATTCAGACTGGATTAGTATATGCAATAATACTTTAATTCAGAAAATAAATCCATTTCCCGTACAGCTTGTTGAGATAACTCTGCAGAGTTGAAATGAAGTGATCTTTGCCTAACTGTTCCCTTTCTTCTGTCTTCCAAATAATTTTCCTTTTTTGGGCTAAATTCCACATGAAGGCAAACACTTCACAAAAAGTCCTTCAGATCTCTAGATTTGTGCATATAAGATGAATTGGCCTAGAAAAGCAGTTTCGAACTTGGTGCCTGTGGGTGCCATGGTGCCTCCCGAGGTTTATTCAGGTGCCCGTGCACATTTTCATGATCAGTAAAAATCATTATTCTGACAAAAAATGCTGGCATATTGGAGCCCGCTGGTTTTTCTTTTCAATTTGAATGTGCCCCTGGGCACATAAACATTGGGAACCACTAACCTAGAAAAACCCAGCAGCTAGAGTTCTGCCTGTGCTATCTGCTGCTTGTGCAAAAATACCCCACCAAAACAAGTTTTTATTAATGTCAAAACATATTTGCTTTTTTATTTGTTTGCTTTTAGGAGGGGAGAATGCAGAGGAAGAAAGGAATGGTATTTAGATATCAGGTGCCAGCTAGAGGGATAAATTGACCAAATAACAGAGAGAATATCTGTTGAATAAATTATATAACTAAATAAAGTTTAAACAGCATTTCTGCTGCTGGGGTACTCCCAGAATTATTATTTGACAAGCAAAAGGTGATATAACAAAATCTTGAAGAACATAACAGTTATAATGTGGTTTTCAGCACTGCACTTCAAGAAAGATGCGGATAAGCTCGAGAGGGTGCAGAGGAGGGCCACTCATATGATTAGGGGCCTGAAGGATGGGCCCCATGAGGAGAGACTCCAGTAGCTGGGCTTGTTCAGTCTGAGTAAGAGGAGGCTGTGAGATGACTTGATAGCTGCCTACAAATATGTCAGGGGGCAGCATCAGGATCTGGGAGAGCAACTCTTCAAGAAGGCATCCCTTGGGAGGGGGAGGACCAATGGGCACAAACTAACAGAGGGAAGATTTAGGCTGGACATAAGGAAGAATTTCTTCTCCGTAAGGGTAACTAGAACCTAGAACACACTCCCGGCAGAGGTGATGTGGTCACCATCCTTAGAGGCGTTCAAGAGCAAGCTGGACAAGCACTTCATTAAGCTAGTTTGAGCTCATTAACCTCCTGCCTGTGGCATGGGATTGGACTTGATGAGCTTACAGGTCCCTTCTGGTCTATGATTCTATATTCATTTAAGACTTTCTTTGAAAAATACATCATCTGGCACTAAGTTAAGAGGGAAAATTGTGGGTGTAACTTTAGAGACTGCCTTAGAAAATGTAGTTATCTGGGACTTGTGTACAATTGTTTGGCAATTCTGAAGTCAGCACCTTTATAAAAGTCGCATGCTAATATGGTCAGTTGGAATTCTTGGTGCCAGTGACTGGTAGAACTTTCTATTGCCCCATCACAATCGCAGCACGGGGTAGTAATTTAGACAGTGAATCCTCCCAGTAGCCTTATATAAAATTGTTTAGTTGGTATAACTACTGAGGAGTGCTGTGTTTATAACCATTCTTCCTGTCTGGGATTTTTGTTTAGTATATGATTCAGTGAATGCTCTGAAAGTTGTTATTAGGCCTTAATATAAATAATGATGTTAAAAAATAAATTAAAAATGGACTTGTAGAAACAAAGCCCCATTGGATTACACACAAAAAGAATGGATGTTGTTTTGCATTTGAAAAGAAACAAAAAAGTTTGATCCTGATCAGGAACTTATAACCAAAGTCATATCTCAGGGGAACTTTGGGTCTAGCAAGGTCTTCCAACTGCAGGTCAAAGGTTGCTGAACTACAAATTAACACATGCACAGAAACAACATCTACAAATGCATGCAGTGTGTGTTCTGAAAGTGTATTTCCAGGCTTAGCATTTATTGGAAGGAGTTCCCTCCTTTTACCGTGACAAGAAATGAAGCACCATATACATAAAAGTATCAGATGGAAGAATTAACATTAGTCAAGCAGGAAGGCAAAACACAACAGCAGCTAAACCTATTTCTGGGTAGTGTTAGAATACATTCTACTGAAGTAGAAGTAGAATATAGGACCTTGGAGATAACATGTTGTTCTCTTGGCAGTCATGCATCTGCCTTATTAAGGAAATGAGAATACTAATCAAGTCTGATACAACACCTCTATTTTGAACAATAAAACTTATTACTGGAAATCCCAGCAAAAGTGCAGGCTGAAAGCAGTTGAGAGAAGAAATATGTCTTTACTGATTTAAAGCCTTTATAAGCAGAAGTGGTGGTGCCACCATGTCTGGCTCCCTGCCTGTACACCTAGTGATGAATGGGCAAGGGAATGATTGGAGGAATGATGGGGTTTGATATTTGCACACAGTTTCCAAGCCTTGGATTTTACTGCAGTTCTTACCAGGATAATCTGAACGCTGTGCAGTGGAGGAAATTGGGGAGGGATGGGACTCTTCCCATCTTTTTAAATATGCTGACACTACCTTGAACTCACTGTGGTGAGTTTTAAAGGCACATTTCAGCAGAGTACCATATGTAACAGGGTGAGTTGAACAAGTGATGGGGATCAGAAAAGCACCAGAACTATTAGAAAAGTTTTTTCTAAGGCACTTTCTTTCTGCTTTCTTTCATTATCATCTCTCCCTCCCTGTACTGAAGACAACAGTGACACCTGTGTGTGGTGCCTATAAATAGCATCACTATGTTGGTCGTACAAAGTAGAATCCTTGCATTTGAATTGCTAGATGATGGCTAACGTCCCCTTTTAACCAAAATATATAAAGGAGCTTCAGTAACCAGCTGCTGGTTTATTTTGTATCCCACAGTTAATAACTCACTGTGGCGTCCTCAAGCTTTTCTGCTTATTTTTATAACCTCACTGTTTGGCATAACTGTAGTTACCAAGTAACAAAACATTAGAAAGCAAAGCACAGACTCTCAGTGCTAATTGGCACCCTTTACAGTCACACCAACGACTGAGCAATCTTGAGGACTGAACTAGCCTGCTCCTCTGCCACCCCTAAAGAGCAGCCCTACTAGGTTAGAACTGAGGGAGAGGAGGTAGAGGGAAAAGTTTTCACTACTGCGCTGTGTGTGGTTTCTATTCTGTAGATGGATAGAGGACTTAATTGCCCAGGAATGTCAGCACCATTCCTTTGACTTCACAGACATTAAAAAGTTGGGAAATCAGGCTGCATTTCTTTATATTTTGTTGATCATCCATCAGATAGTTTACAAAGCTTCAGACTAAGGAAATGAAATCCCTCCAGGATAATTAGAGGCATGGGCTGGTGATGGCTCAGTTGTTGTCCCACCGACATTATTGCTTTACAAAAGGGCTTAAGAAAGATGTCTGCTACCTTGCTATAGTAGTAGGACCCATTTCCTAACCACTGTGTGTATAGTAAGTCATTAATAAAGCAATGTGATGTCCCAAGACACATCCTAATCCTTCAGAAGGGTGGGGGAGGGTGTGTCTAACAAGAAGCACCAAATAATAAGCATCCAGATTTCAAGAGGTGCACAGTACTTAGAGGCCTGCTGACTGCTGTACACGTTTCGGCAGAATTAGCGCTTGTGCAAATTTGGCCACTTATATATAGGGACCTAAATAGGAATGTTAGGATCCTGAACTTCAGCTACCCAAGTTTAAAAATGTTGGCCACAATATATAGAATTCTAGACACTGTTCTCGGGAGAATTATCTTTGGAGTTATTTAAAAATACCATGGTTTATACAATTCTTTCAAACAAGCATGCACACATGCACGCACACACGAATACCAAAGGGCAGGGAGCCCTAATTGTCAACTTGCAAGTTTCTCATGGGTGTAATTTCATTGACTTCCATCAGAGTTACTGTGTATGAATTATGCTAGCCCAGGAGGCAAAGTCAGAATTGGGTTTCCTGTGTGCAGCATGCAATGCTCATTGTGTTTAGCATCTGCAAAAACTGCCAGCCCAACTTCTGTTGTCAAATGTTCTATGAAATTGGATCCCTTGCTGTGAACAAATCTCCCTGTTCTCCAGAGTATAAAAAATACTCCCTCTGTGATCTGCATGCTCTATTTATCCTCTCATGGGCTGATAGGCTGTGACATCTTAAACTGTTACAAACCACACATTTTAGAGGGAAATGACTGGCAGACCTAGACTGCTTATACACCAGGAAATAGAGCCTTTTGCCTCCCTGAACAACCACCTCCTTGACAGAGAGGACTGAGCTCCCCAGTGAGTTCTCTATTTCAGCTCCCATCACACTTGGAGTGACAGCCCAGGTAGAAATCTGCTGCTATGGTGAGAATGATGTGCTCTAGTGTTTTCCTGATAGGCATCATGTCAGTGTCTCCTTTCAAAGGCAGTGGCCATGTCTTGAATGTTTACATTGTCAATGCTCCAAGAGCAGGTAATGGCAGGTTAAAACATGACCAATATGATCAAAAGGCATATTGGTAGGTAATCTCTGTTCCTGTTAGAAAGGAGAAGAAAAGAAATAGTTGGGGGCAAAAATAAGAGAAGGAACTAGATCTTTAAAATAAAAGTGCCTAACAGTAAGTCAAGAGTCCCATAGGAACCTACTTGTCTCATTACCCTAGTAAATCTGAAATGTAATAGTGCTATTCCAGGATGAGTCGATAAGGATAGAGTTCTTGCAGTTTACTGCATGTTCAGCAAGACAATCAGTCTGAGAGGGCTTCAGAAAACCTCATCCTAATCTGCATTACAATGAGCACCAACATAGGGAGAGGGAGCATGTGAATGAAGTAGTTAAAAGGAGGATGGGACAAGACTTGTCCAGTTTTTTGCATGAAAATATGCACAAACACACATGTTTGAAACAGGAATACAAATTTGGAGGTTACAGTTAAGTTTTAGAACAGAATATACGATTAATGCAGAATTAATTTGAACACTTCAGGCACTTTCACATCATCTCATTTCTAACCAGTTGTTTTACATGTTGCACTTTCAGAGGGTTTTTGAAGGTCTGTTTGGTATGGTATGGATATTTTTAGCCATAAATGTAAGATTTTATAATTTTCACCCAATACACAGAGCGAAGGGGGAGGGAGGGAATTGCTGAAGTGTTCTAACAGAGAGGCAGAGAGAGACAAAGAGGCAGAAGACCTTAAATTGTTGTAAATATCACTCACATTTTTAAATATATACCTGTCTCCTCTGTTAGCATGAATACAGTCATGCTTCCCTTCTATTTTAACTGAGTGTATTAGTACATAAAAGTGAATTAGGATAAAGGGATCTCAGATCTGATGTCTGTCCTGGCTGACAAGATATGTAAGATAGAAGACTGCAGGTGCTATGGGTTTTTCTTGATTATTTTCCATTAAGGGCCAAATATAATACTACAAACACAGTCAAGAACTCCATTGTTACCATAAGAGTGCTGCCTGAGTGAGAACTGCAGAATCAGAGAGTTCTCAAGCAATGCAAAAGGCCAAAGAACAAGCACATAAAATGGCTCTGAAATCCAGGGCAGTATTCTTCAATAATCTTCAAAAAAGAGAAAGGAAACAGTTCTGTTTTTTAATATATCGATGAATTCTTGTGTGCTGTCTTACATGTGAAACTGAACTCAGAGAGGCAGGATACAATTTAGACCTGACCCTAGTGTTAAAGATCTCTGAGGAATTCTAGCGTAGTGGTGACTTCTAAGGCAAAAATAAAGTCATTTTACAGTGGCCTCTCTCTTTTTTTTTTTTCTTTTTTTTTAATAAAAAAAACCTATTTCAGATTTTGTTGAAGGGAACATTCACCATAAAGCCTTGCTGATCTCTGTGACTGTGTGCAGTATACTCCTGGTGCTTATCATCATATTCTGCTACTTCAGGTAAGTTAAGTCAGCAATATTGAAGAGTTGTGTGCTGCACATTTGTTCCTAATATCACTTCTGTCTCTCCCCTAAGAG